CCGATTCTCTCTTTCTCCCAAAGTATGCCAGGATGTTACAAGATCAATACAAAATCTCCCCAGCTGTTGTCTGTCAGTCAATCTCACTAAGCCAGCATCTCAAATGTTTTGAGTCCTGGCTATTTTTATGAAGGAGCCGCCTTCTAATACAGGAGTATTGTGCGTATGCAGAATGTATTCTCACTGGGTTTCATTTCAGCGTACCTTTTATCCCACGAGATGTTAATTTATTTGGTGGTCGCAATTTCCTATTTTCTGATTAGTTTACTAGTTTACGGATTAGCTATGTGGATTTTAATTGTCACGTGGTAATAGCATAGTAAGAAATCACAGTTGGCATCTAAAAGGATCTCCTTAAGCTTTATACAAGTTTAACTCTCCTTTGGTGGTCAACAAAGTGAAAACTGTGGCTTGTAGAAAGGTGTCTTAATGGGTGACTACATTGGCAGTCACGTTTAAAATGTGGTGTCAAATAACCTAAGTAAAATTCGAGTAGGTATTTTATTTACTTTTGTTCTTATTGAAACCTAGTGGTTTTCGACTGCAGATAGAGTTGTGGCACAACGCACAAAAGATGGTCTTGCCATACTTTTCCTGTCAAGGGATAAATAAGGTTCATCACTTTTGTATCAACACTATTTGGCTTTATATTTCTTGTGTAATGGAGGCATGTATTTTTTTCTTTGGTCATATCGAAAATTAGAAAATTATTTTGTCTTAAATATTTTGCAGCATGTGGGTGATAGATGGAGTACCGTTTCTTTTTAGCTATGTACTTTATGTTGATTGCTCTACAAGATGTTCTGCATTTCTCTTTAATAAGATTTCATTATTTAAGATCATTGAAAGTTTAGTAAGGACTTTACAGTCTTCGGTTTCTGAGTATTTTGTTAAGTCAAATCACAGTAGATCTAATGTTTCCATTTCGGAACTCTATTTATTGATCTCTATCCATACATTTGTTATCTCTATCCATACTTTAAAATCTGCCTGGTTTTAACTTAGATTTCGACTCCATTACTCATTGTTACTTAACAAAGTAAGGTGACTTGACAAAGGTTCTGAAGCATCCCTAGCCACATTTGTGTGTACTAGGATAATTGCATTTGAACGCTTGGAATTTTTTATCCTACTATAATCGACTAGTACATGTACTTTGTGGAAACTGGTCTTCAGAACTCTGGAAGAATGGTGAAGTGGAGGAATCCCAGGTTTGAAGTTAAGTGAGAATTCTAGGTCTGTACTTCAGTTTACCATTATCTAGCAATGGACCCTGAACAGATCTTCCTGGTTCACTTTTCTTTTGTGTAAAATGAGAAGTTTGAAATAGTTTAGTGGTCTCCAATATTTTTTATCCCATGAAACTTCTCAGTTGGAAAAAAATTGGCTTAATGCACAAGCAATTTAATTTTAACTATGTGACTTGAGATTTTCATATAGTAACATTAACCTTTTAATGGACAATTATATGAGCTTTGGTAAATGCTAACAGTTGTGTAACCACCACCAACACGATGAAGAATGGTGTTCCATTATCTCCAGAATTTTCCTCCTGCCTCTTAGTAGTCAGTCTCCTCACCCGGAGACTATAGTGTGTTTTTTGTCCCTATAATTTTGCATTTTTCAGAATGTCCTACATGTAGAATTGTATACCTTATAGTGTTTTGATTTGGGCTTCTTTCATTTAATATAGCCACAATTTTAAGTTTTTTAATTTGAATAATACAGGGTTAGTGAGGGAATTTTGGAAATTATCAGAAATTGCCTTGATAACAGCTGTTAACATTTTGGTATATTTTTTCTTTCAGTTGTGTTTTCATTGTACAGGTGATTCTGATTTTCCTCCTCCTTTTCTCCTTTTTCCCCTTTAATACACAGACACATACATGCTTTTGGCTGTAAATATGAGTTGCTAGTGAAGAATTTCAAAGTCATGGGATTAGACAGTATCATGCCTGAGGCAGTGCTCTGTAGAGATTGATTAAAGATTTCCTAGTGGAACTGAAACTTCATTCCACAAATTAATTGAAACTGGTGAAAAGCTAAAGATTTGACCTAAAATTAGGTAGTCTTTTTTTTCCCTAGAAAATATTTACACAAATGAAAGTTCGTTTTTCATCTTTTTTTTTTTTTTTTTAACTTAACAGTGGATCTATAGTTGTTAAAGAGGTAAAAATTTGATATGTTGTTCTTTGCAGTCCTATAACTATGGATTGACATGAATTGGAGATATGTTAATTAAACATTTAATAGGTGTTATAATTTTTGTATAAATATTTGTTTTTATAGCCTTTTCTACCCGGAGCATGGCATTTTAGCGTTTATACTACTAGCCATATAAGATAACTTTCTTTTAAGCTGTGAGATAGAATTTACATTCTATGATTGTTTAAAGAGTATTTAGAGTTGTGTAACCATTACCACAGTCTTAGAACATTTTTATTACTCTCCCCAAAAAACCTTGTGCTCATTTGGTGTCATTGAGATGCTTTTTAACTGTGTATGATGTTAAGCTTTGTAATAATGTCGCAATTTGCATAGCCATGGGTAGAATATAATTTTAAATGCACATTGAAAGTAAGTCACTCAATTTCTGGCTCATGTAGAGAAGTTTCTGTGGTGTTCCAAGGAAATATGTAATCTGTAAGTTGGTCAAATGACGTATTGGGCCTTTTCTATAGAAGATAGAATTAACTTTAGATCTGTGTGATTTTTTGTTTTTTGGCTGTAATTACTATCAAACACAATTTAAAATACAATATTTCCAAAATTTCCTTATTACTTTAGCTCAGTTTAATATTAAAATGAAATTTGAGAGTAATTAGATCAATGCCGCTTTATTATCACCCATGATGACTTATGGAGTTGTGTTCTCAGGGTGTACTTAGTTTTCAGTTGGTATTGATTCATTTGATTTCTTTGTGGAAATTAGTAATTGAGGAAAAGATGGTGGCTGTCTTAATAATATTAGGGGCAGTTAAAAACATACAGGTATTTAAAGATAATTTTTAGTTGTATATTTTAAAATGAAATTTTTATAAAAATGTAAAAACTAAGATTTAACTACATGAAAAGGCCACTTTAACAATTAAAAAAATCACTTTTCCTGTAATTTTTCTTTGTATTACAAGAACAGTACACAACTATGAAAAATCTGAAAACAAATTAAAAATCTTATCTATCTGGAGATAATGCTGTCAAGGCCTTGGCTTTTGTATACTTACAGAAAACACATTTTTCCATGTTTTTACTTTAATGCACCTGCGTATTTTCTACATGATCGTATATTTGCGTGCTTTCTGTGAGAGAATAGTTTTCTATGACTGCTTATTGTTTACTAGATATTCTATGACTCTTATACATGTATTTCTTGATTTTGTTCTCTCAAGGACTCCATGAAGTGTATGCGGTTTTATCCCCAATTTTCATATTAGGAAACTGCTGATGATTAACTTGGACAAGAATATACTGTAGCTGAAGTGAGATTTAACTCTAGGGCTTTGCATTTCCAATTGCCTAGGTTAGCATAGTATTAAGTTCTTCAAAGGAAATTTTAGGGTAGGGCGCTTACGTTTTAGTTAGGAAGACAGGGCAGACACTTGACCGGATAATAACTTTAGAATTGAGTTCTCTACCACAATGTTAAGGATGTAGCAGACTTGTTTTTTTTTTTTGGTAGTGGGAAGAAAACTGTACCTTCCATAACTGATCCCTAATTCTTGTATTAGCTAGTTGAGACACCTTGGAGTTTTCATTTACAATATGAGACAGTTTTAATGATTTATCAGCTGGTGGAATCTGCTAGGTTCTGTTAGTTCATTAAGATCCCATCTAGCTCTAACAACAATAACAGCCAATCTATAGCATCCAGACTATCAGATGGTGCAGGTACTTTACATGAATTTATTTCATTGAGTCCTCAATCACGATGATGGGGAGATAGTGTTACCATTAATTGAGTAAAGTGAGTTTGAGTAATCTAGGTTTGTA